CTAAGGGTCTAGTATCTCTAGATATTCTATCTTAGTAAGATGCTATATTACGTAATCTTCGCCCTGCGTTAATTATTACTTTCTAACGTGGACGTCCCTAGGCCTTCAGCTATCTCGTTATTTGTTAAGGAGAGAATCCTTCTTCTTACTTATAACAATCTATCTATCTTTATATTCTTATTACTTCTAGTCCTGCTTTCCTTAGTCTTAGCCTAATATTCTAATAGCTACTATTAAAGAATTACTACTATTATATACTAGCGCCTAATAGTCGTCTTAGCGTAATATTAATCACGTGATTATGGCCCCGTAGTGATTATTACCTTCTGACGTGGACGTCTATAGGCCTTCAGCCATCTCGTCACTTGTTAAGGAGAGAATCCTTCTTGTTACTTGTAATAATTAGCTTTAAATAGTTATTTATAGAATATTATAGGTAATCGTAGTACGTTATTTACTCTAAATTTATTTAGAATTAAGATTAGTAATAGTAAGAAATAAATCTTCTTTAGTATAGGCTTTTAACGCGTTACGTAGTTAAGGTATTACGCGTTATTATTATAGTGGTGGGGTATCGCGGGGAAGTGGCCGAATCACTGGGGTGGCCGAATCACTGGTGAAACACGTTAATCATAGTGAAACTTGAGTTTACTTTAAGGTCTAATTGGAGCTATAGTAATCATAGAATAGAAGGCACGAGTGGATAATAAAACTAATTAATAAATAAGAGAGAGCTTTGCTATACTCGACATAAGTATTTAGAAGGGAATATTTCTCTAACATCTATAGCTATGGCCTGTCTATATGTCTTGAATATTATTACTAATACATAGTATAGTTTTAGCGTTATACTAAGGTGCGGTTCTAGTGAGAGTCTTGGATAGCTGCGTCGAAACAAGCGGTCGCCTGGTCGGAAAGTAAGATAGCTGTAACTGCAAGTTACTGCACGATGTTCTCGTTCGGTGTGATACCTCTCCCTAGATCCGTCCTTCGCGTTGTTGACTGTTTTTGGACGCGGAGCCGCTGGTGATACGCACGGGCTATTCTTCTTCCGCGTCTTGTGCGGCGAAACCTCCATAATAATACAAATAAAAGATACAGCGGGCGTTAAGTTCCGGTTAAATGCTACCTCAGGGCTATCATGTAAGTATGTAGAGAAATACCGCAATAAAGATTATCCCGAAATTCAGCAGAGCGGCAAAACTATGGGGCATTGCGCAGTCGATGTCACGGAACATTGTTAAAAGAAGCGATGCAGAAGTCGTGCTGGGCTAAATACCGTCTAAAGTGGCTGAAATCTCTAAGATATAACCCGCCGCACTAGCCCCATTAAAGACAAGATGCGTTGAAGATAGCCAGATTCCGGGTTAGCCCCAAGCGGGGTTGGACGCAATGTCGTGAGCAATGACGTTCCCTGAGGGAGAAGCAAGGGCGTTGAGTACGAGTGCAAACACTAAAACTCATCCGAGTCGCGGAACTGCGGGATGTAAGCCGAACACATTAGGTGGGGTAGATTGGCATCTGCATATATTCATCCTGGATACCTCTAGCCAGGCCTTTGGTGGCGCCATTGGAAGTCACCATGAGGTTTACCGCTCTCGTCCCATCGGTGCTCGCCTTCTCGGCACCAGCATGGGCAAAGAACTCGAGCTACTACAACCCCGTTCTCCCTGGTTGGCACTCCGACCCATCATGTACGCCCGTCAACGGAACTTTCTTCTGCGTAACATCAACATTCATCTCCTTTCCCGGTCTGCCTATCTACGCATCAAAAGACCTCGTCAATTATAAACTTATCAGCCATGTCTGGAACCGCGAATCTCAGCTTCCAGGCTACAGCTATGCGACCGACGCCCAGCAGCAAGGCATGTACGCCGCCACTATTCGGCACCACCAGGGCACATTCTACGTCATTTGCGAATACCTTGGCACAACCGGCAATCGTACGAATGGTGTCTTGTTCAAGACTACCGACCCATTCGATGAAGCTAGCTGGAGTGACCCCGTCCTCTTCCGGGCTCCAAAAATCGACCCTGATCTATTCTGGGACGATGACGGCAAGGTTTACGTAGCTACTCAAGAAATCCGCATCCAAGAGATCAACATTGACACCGGGGCTATGGGACCCGTCATTAACCTCTGGAACGGCACTGGCGGCGTTTGGCCCGAAGGCCCTCACATCTACAAGAAAGACGGATGGTACTACCTCCTCATCGCAGAGGGTGGCACAGCCGAGGACCACGCCGTCACCATGGCCCGTGCCAAGACCATTACTGGTCCCTACACCCCCAGCCCACACAACCCTCACCTCACAAACCGCGGTACTGATCAGTATTTCCAAACCGTCGGCCACGCAGACCTCTTCCAAGACGGAAACGGAAAATGGTGGGGCACCGCCCTAGCCACGCGCTGGGGACCTCCCAATAGCTCCTACTTCCCAATGGGCCGAGAAACCGTTCTCTTCCCTGTGACATGGCCCACGGGCGATTGGCCCATCATGCAGCCCGTCCGTGGCATCATGTCTGGCTGGGAACTCCCCGCTCTGTCTCGTGACATCCCCGGCACCGGGCCGTTCAACCACGACCCCGACGTCTATGACTTTCCTGCTGGAAGCCAGATCCCGCGCAACTTGGTATACTGGCGTGTACCGCGACCAGGGATGATTAGCGTAACGGAGAATGGGTTGCAGGTAGTGCCGAGTAAGAATAATCTAGGAAACAAGTTTAACAATACGACGCCGTCAAGTAAGGCTATTAGCTTCGTAGGACGAAGGCAAACCGACAGCACGTTTAGATTTAGCGTGGATATAACCTTTAACCCGACTCAAGACGGCCAAGAAGCCGGCATCACAGCATTCCTAACGCAATATGCTAACGTGCAACTTGGTGTCACTCAGCTCAATGGCTCAACGGTATTTCGCTTCAACTCGACCGAGTCCCGAAATAAGTACACGCCTCTTCCTAAGGCGTGGGAAGAACAGCCCATCCGCCTCATGATTGACATGTGTACCCCGGATGAGTACTTATTCTCCGCTGCGTTGGCCGAGGGCGGCTCGGAGACGCTTGAGTTGGGCAAGGCGGCTACAAGCCAGGTGAGCGGACGTACGGGCAGCTTTGTTGGCACGCTGATTGGGGTTTATGCGACGTGCAATGGGGCTGGGGACCATGTTCTGGATTGCCCGGAGAGTACGCCAAAGGCCTGGTATAATCGATGGAGGTATACTGGTGTGAAGCAGTGGGTTAACAAAACGATCAGTGTGGCAAGTGAAAGCTTTAATCAGGGGGACTGATCCGGTGGAAATGAGCGATGAGATATAGGAGAGTAAAGATTTGGGTGAAAACCTGAGCGTGGGAGCTGACTCCTGTATCTGTAGCCAAGAAGATGCAGAATAGAGCTAATATTCTCACTAAAATTCTTGGCTTCTATAGAGTGAATAAGAATACCAATGAATATTCTCATGTCGAGGTTTGAATGAGAGAAGGGTAGGTAGTGAGCCATGTTCGTTCCTATACATTGAGAAGTTGATAAGCACGAAGTTAGTGAGTTTCGTTATAGATACTTAACAGAAATTTCCTCAAGAAAAGAGCTATCTTTTTTTATAGAAAAATGGAATTACCAGCCTTGGTGCGACTACTTACTTCATGTTGGTAAAGAGAATTAACTTAAGAAAAGGTATTGGAAGAGCAAATCAAGTAACAACAAAGTTACCTCGCGAAGGTGAGAGGGCAACATATTAGTAATTGATGCTTAACCTCACGATTTCATGCCCGAAAAACACTGAAAGCGCGAGGCTAACAAATGATATCCGTAGACCCACTTGCCTTCTGCGCAAAGCATTAGAAGGCTCTCTGTCGATTTCCCAATCTAGAAACCTCAGACTGAGGGAGCGAGCTCACCCAAACGAACCACCCGTACCGCGAGAAATTGATACTACTTTACGTCAGTCAATATGCAATACAAAGCTACTAGTATAATAGTGATAAGATATACAAACTCCGAGTAGGCTACATTTCACTATCGTTGATGCACGATTTTATATCCGACTTTATTGGTCGATTGAAATCGGAAAGACTACAATCATATACTGGGATGTAGACCAATCGCGACTTCCCTACCCCTGCTGGCGATGGTCTTCTCATGTACCGCGGATTGCTAATTAACTATGATAATGCTGAAAACTATTTCACGCATACGATTTCGATTTGTCAAGTCACTTCCATTGGCTCGGCGTCGTAACCATTGCGGATACCAGCTCAAGCTGGGAGCGGAACCTTATCATAGCAGCTGCTACATGAAGCAACCTCGATATAGCTCCATTTTGAATGGGGCGACTGAGCTAATATAAAAGCCGTCGTTGCAGATGACTAACACGATACAGAGCCATAGTCTAAATCTCCAGTATCAAGATGCATTCGCTTAACTGTTTCGCCGTTCCCGTTTGTATATGGGCCTTGATCTTGATGTCTTCCCAAGCGTCGAGTGACAACCTTATGTACAAACCTTGGCCTTACGAAATCGACATCGACCTGGCTTTCCTTGAGCAGACAAGCTCCAGGGTAGCCAACTTTCGTTCCACCGCCGATATTGCTGCGCCGGCCTGGTTTGACGGCCCACCCAGCTCCAACATATCCACCATCGCTGCGTACTGGTCTGAAAAATACGACCGGCTTTCAGACCAGAAAAGATTGAACGAAGAATTTGACCATTACACAACCACAGTGCCACCGCCAGGAGATGATTACACCGACTCTCTAGACATCTACTTCATTCACCAGAGGAGCGAAAAGTCAGATGCTATTCCTTTTTTAATGTTACACCGCTGGCCTTTTACGAGCCTTGAGTGGGAGAAAGTTATTCCTGAACTTCCCAAGCCTTCTATGGCTTAAATTAGATCATCTATTTAGCATGAGGCTTATTAGATAATTATTTCTTACAAAAGAATAGTAGGCTACACTCTAGCCTACTAGAATTAGAAATAAATAAAAAGACTTTATTGTTTAGGTAATAACTTAAGTAAAAGACTTCTATATTACAGAAGCTTTAGAGCTTTACCTCTAAAAGCTCTATTTATAAAGCCCTACGTTTAATCTTATAAAGAGTGTTTTAATAATACTAGTTATCTCTTTATAGATATATATCTACCTATATATTATAGGCTACACCATATAAAAAACTAGTAGAAGCTAAAATTTATCGCATAAGTTGGGTTATACGTAAGGTTAAGATCTAGCTATTTATCTATAGTATCTCTACTTTTTTTTCTTTCTTTATCTTAACTAAAATAGACTAGATATAATATAATCTATAATATACTCAATTTTAAAATATTTTTATTTTATTATAGAGAGTTAGGTGCTAATACTTCTCTAGGCTTTATTTAGGTTAAAGTAAGATAGTGTAAAGAGCGCCGTACAGTATATTTATATAGCGATATAGTGGAGTAGGCGTGCTTATTAAATAGATAATTAAAAGTTTGATAATTTCTAATTTATATTAAATAGAATAATAAGGATTAATCTTAGAAAGTTAAGTAACTAGTAAGGGAGTAGAATAAAATCTAACATTAATAAGAGTAATTAAAATATGTATCTATTTATTAATAGCGAAAAGCCGTTTAAATAAGTTTATATCAACTTATAGTATAGAAAAAAAAGATAAGATGAGTAAAGTTATTATATAATAACTATTACTTTATACTTCTTTCTTAAATATATTATATAGAGAGATATTAATAACTAAACTTTCTTATGGTATATACTATAACGTGACGGATAAGCGAGTCGGTCAGGCAAGCGAGTCGGTCACCCTACCAACTTTGCGCACCTCTGCGGGCATATATCTCAACAACACAATAGTATAACAAATATAGAGTAACAGAGTGAATTAAGCAGTACTATTAGTATCTTTCTTACACGTACGTAAGT